TTCGTGATGATATCTTCAATTCTCTAATTTTGGTGAATATTTTAGTCATTTTTGGTAGAAAGTGATATTTTCGACTTCTTGTTAAAAACTGTAAGTCCGATTGCTTTGATACTATACATATTGTTCATTTTCTGATGATGTCTTCAGTTCTTTAATTGAAATGTGCATTTCTAACAGCGGAGGCTATCTCAGCCGATAGGCTGCTTGTATATATATACTATGATTGATTTCTTTAATATAGGTCAAACCTAAAATGCAGCTATACATGTATAAACGTACATTTCACAGTATGTAGCAGATTTTTCAAAAATAATGCAAAATAATATTCCACTTGAAAGAAACATTGTATGTAAATAATGTATTCATAATAGTGTAAATATGGTACAATCTAAACCTTATATCAGGGGGTTCATTATACTGTAGAATACTTTATTTTCGCTTGGAATTTATTTTCGCTATTTTCGCTGAAGGGACGATTCCATGAAAATAAAATCCAGCGAATATACATTTTTTCCTATATTTTACATTAATCTCAACAAAAATCAGTGAAAATAAATTTCAAGCAAAACGCCCAAAAAGCCTTTTCAGCGAAAATTAATTCCAGCGAAAATAAAGTATTCCACAGTAGTTTAATTTAAGATTGTTCTTAAAATGGATGTTAGTGTGAGCATAAACTTCCTTATTGGACCATCTCACATACTGTAGTTGAAATCCTCAATATGCAGTACAAAAAGCAATCCTAGCCATCCTTGAAGACAAGAATAATATGCTGAATTGTCTTGAAATTGAGTTGGTTATCCCTTGCATTATAGAATGCTACAAAGCCAAAGACATTATGTAATTACTAGCCATGAAAGAAAGTGAAATAAGAAATAGCTTATTCTTCAGTCTATGAATTGTGTCAAAATTACATTCAATGGGAATAACACGTCTCTCATGATTGATTTGGAAAGAATCTCATTTTGTGGAGACCTTGTTCGAAATTGATTTTTTTTTCACTCAAATATATGAGTTTCAGTGTTGTATCCTTGCCACTATGTAAGTGGCTGTAATTGGATATTGATCTGAAGCTTACGTCTTGTCTGTGGTAGTGGTAGAGGGCGCTCTATTTATCTTACAATGGGACTTGCCAGAGACCAGTTCAACACTACCATAGATACTTATTACAAGAAAAAATGTGGGGGTGCTGCAGTATGATCTTGTGTCTTTCTTTTAATTTGCATATTCAACTCTCTCTATTTTTACGTACGTGGTACTAAACATCAATGTTCTAGCGATTTTAATTTGACAAGATAAAAATCATCCTAATGCCTGATTCCTGGCGATTCAACATTAAGTGTACCGTAGTCATTTTAATGAAATAATTATACACGTTATCCCTTTGAGCGATAATATGCAAATCAGTGCTACTGGGAAAACAGTGATAAACAACTATGCCAGAGGAAGTTTTGCACAGAACAGCTCATGTAAATCAAACACATGACGTACAACATACGTTGAATGGAATACCTATTCATTTCCTTTGACTTTTTCTGCAGTTGTGTGTCAATGTTCTTTCTAGCGTCTATCACGCAAGCCAACATAATGCACACTAAAATTCAATATTGCCCTCTGAGATGGTACTCTTCGGTGGTCTAATATGCTGGGACTTAATTGATAGTATGAAAATGAGCAATTTGATGGAAACGCACATTATTCAAAAGTTCATCTTAATTTTCCTTTCATTGTAAATCTTTACAAAACCATAAGTGTCAGTACACAGTTTAGAAGTGTTAAACCTAGAGTGACTGAATAATATGATAAATGAGGAACGCAGATGTCCAGCTGATTTCAATAACGGTGAAATGATGGTAACCAGCTGATCTCACAAGTACGACTCACCTTTATTGATGACATCCTTTACTTTAACTGCAAGATTGTGAAATGAGAGCAGGATTGAATTTTGTTATTATTATCAGCATTTACGTTATTGTTAATGAAATTTCAACAAAATTATGAAAAACGATCATCAACATTAAGATGTGGAAATCTTTGAAAATTGGACATTGAGGATGATTATTTAATGTATTGAAAAATTACAAAAAATAATGCAGTTTTTTTCTAAAACTTCCAGGTTTTTGACATTTTGCTTTTTCACACATTTTCCTCCAGTGATTCTAACTTGCACATATTAATTATTGCTTTGAATACCGAAGTCTTATTTTGTCAACCGGTGATCGTTGGCATAGTGGTTTAATTGTTGCATCTGACTCATGATTATATCTAGTGGTGAATATCTAAACAATTTCAATCCGTACCTGGGTGAGTGTGTCACATTATATCATAATGCCATTATGCTATGAAGATAGTCACACTGGCTTGTCACATAGTGCCAAATTATAATATGGTCTCTGTGGCAAAATGCACTATACACTTATAATTTGCATATAAAAAAGGGCACTAAAGAAAACAGTGACATTAAATGTCTAAAACTGTCACCTGGCGACATTTTACTTTTTCTCACCATAAACATTTTACATTTTTATGTTCAACAACATGGATTACATACATGCTGTACAAATGTACTCCATTGGATACAGGTTTTGATCAGAGTTTTCAAAAGAAATTATGGGAAAAATTATGAGAGTCAATTTTGTGAAACTATATAGAGTGACAAAAGTTTACTTTGATGCTTAAATGAATAACAAAAAATACTGTTTTTGACGCCAGTGTGCAAAGCACACAATGGGAACTAGTCTTCGAGGTTAGTGTGTCTGGGTGTCTGTTCCACTGATATCTTGAGAATCAATTAACAGATTTTAATGAAACTTGGTACATCGATGCTCTGGCATAATGCTCAGATCTGATTAGTTTTCAGTTGAAATCTGTGTATATTAATGACCTAATACACCACTATCTCAATCACTCATCAGATTCAATGAAACTTGCTACATAGATGCTCCGGGATAAGCCATTACATGCTCAGTTTAGGGTTAAATTTTGTGCTTACTAATTACCTAATTTGCATAAATTAGACAATTTATAGGCACTCCTATCTTTTGATGAAACTACATGTAGGTTCATAGGTGCTTTGGGATAATCCACAGATCTGATTACTTCAGGGTTGAAATCCATGCATATTAATTACCTGTTATCATGTGTCCTTCTTAATATGCATAACTGTAATGTACAAAGCACTGCTGTAGATAACAAAATACAACCAGTGCTATAATAAAGACATCTGACAGTGTGATACATGTATGACTAATATATCAGATGACTATAGTCATGTGACCTCAATAATATGCATAACTGTAATATCTTAATTAAGTACTTTTGCAGATAGGAACACGTAACTGGTGCTATAGTTTTGTTGTCTGACCAAAATATCAAGTCAACAAATATGGTCATTATTTTATTAAATATTTATTTATTGTTATCAGTACATGTAAACCATAGCTACTTGTAACCACCCTAACTATTACTTGCAGTTATATTTAAATGTTGTATTTGCTCTATTAGAAGCATATGTGCTCACTGTAAAGACAAGTCTATGGATAAAATAACACATATTTTAATGATTTTGCATGCAATAAACACAATTTTTTGCTTTATTTGTATTGAAGATGTGCTTCTAATATAGTAAATACAGTATTTTTTATTTCTACTCCATGCCCCCAATACCTTCAGCACATTCAGTTCATTCTAAGCTTTTTATTTTTTTCAGGTTGAAAGAGAAATTGCAATTATGAAGTTAATTGAGCATCCACATGTTTTAGGTCTATATGATGTTTATGAAAATAGAAAACATTTGTAAGTATAAATCACATAATATTATGTTAAGTTTTATTAATAATACACACTTTTAGATTTGTAAATTCCATAATTTATCTTTATTAATAACACACTTTGCATTGAAATCATGCAGCATCTAAATACATCAATGTAGATCAGAGTGACTTCATCTTTTCTATTTGATTCTAGATATCTTATATTAGAACACGTCTCAGGAGGGGAACTTTTTGACTATTTAGTGAAAAAAGGCAGATTAACACCAAAGGAAGCTAGGAAATTCTTTAGGCAGCTTATATCAGCAATAGACTTCTGCCATAAGCACTCCATATGGTAAGTTTCTCTGATTTGCAAACATTATACATACTGTAGAATACATTATTTTCGCTTGAAATTTATTTTTCGCTATTTTCGCTGAAGGGATGATTCCGTGAAAATAAAATCCAGCGAATATACTTTTTTTCCTATATTTCACATTAAACTCATCAAAAATCAGTGAAAATAAATTCCATACAAAACGCCCAAAAAGCCTTTCAGCGAAAATTATTTCCAGCGAAAATAAGGTATTCCACAGTAGTTTCCTGGGTAGTTATTTCAATGATTTATATACAGGTATTGTCAAGTCTTTGGTACATGTAATAGTACCGGGTATATATCCACAAACATGTGTTGTCATGTAGCAATCTTTATTTGGATACCAATGTTTGTTTCTATAGCAACATTGACTTTGTGATATCCTCATAGAATTTAAGCCCTACTCTATCCAGAAGCCATTTTGAATTAGAAATTTGTATATAAACAAAGCGTCGTACATGTAATTCAGAAACTAGATACATGTATCTTAAGTTTTGTCTTCAAGTTCACAATCACGGGGAACAACTTGATATATATTCCAGAAGGTTTAATTTCTGTGTCAAAAATGTGTAAGCCTTGGTCACTTACCGTATAATCTCTTGAATAGGCGTCACTCTAATTTAGGCGTCAGGGAAGAGCGAGAGACCTTAATTTGGATCTGAAACAGGCGTCACAAAATGTTGAAAAATTAGTCAATCAAAATAACTGTTCACATTTTTTTTTTTTTTGGTAACAAAAATTATATTCTAAAAGAAGTTTCATATAAAAACAAACACGAATGCATTGCTTAGTAGCAAATGATCTCGGTACGGTAGCGCAATCCGATCATGATGCGTTTCACTAGTGAATAACTTACTTGTTTTTGAAGTTTTGCAGTTGATGACTATTACTCAGTAGTGATTATAATGACTTCCAAAAAATAAATTCGCTGAATTGTTATGCGATACGATATCGGCCATGTTGGTTTATGCATACGAATGACCTTATAACTGCTCTTTGACCTGATAGGTCAAGTCGCTTATTAACCAATCAAAATGCTAGATGGTGCCAACGTGTTTGAATTACAAACTCATTTAAATATGTTAATGACAGTTCATCGACTTCTTGGTGAATGTAACACGAAAGAGATTTACCGTTGTTGTAGTGCAATCTTTTGGCTTTGATTTTGATGGGAAAACGGCATGATTTTTTTTTTCAAAAAATAAACTGAGCATTGAAGAATAATTTATCACTTTTTACGGTAATAACAACTCATTGTCGAAACGCAGTTTACCCATTCACGCTACCCACAATAAACATTGTACTCTTGAATAGGCGTCAATGACTAAATTAGACTCTAATTTACACTCACACAGCTTACATACTCAGGGAGGTTTAGAAAAAAAATCCCAGCATTGTTTTTCACCAAATTCTCACAAAACAGAACCTTTAAGGATTAGTATAGTCTTAAGGTATCGCTATATAAGAACGCAAGTAATCAATCACTGGTAGATATCAATTTTTAATCAATGATTCCAATTTATTGCTTGTTTCCCTCAATTACAAATTACTTCCATTCCATTTTAAGTTACTCCTCCCGAGAGATCCTTACAACTTGGAAGGTAATTGCGCTCTACATGTATTTATAAAAAAAGGTTACCCTCTTTGATGGAGTGTTGATGTGAATTGTATCTGCCTGGCCAACAAATGTTGTTATCACAAGTGGGTAGAGTCCATTAATTGCTCCTAAATAGTGAGCTTCTATACAGCATATCACCCTGTGTACTACACTGCACAGTTACGGCAATTGATACGTATTGGAAATCTAATTGTACTTGTCTTTTACCACTTCAACCACTTTGTCTTCTCCCTAGTCCTCTTTGTTCTCAATTAGGGTCTCCTTTCTTTGGATATACAATTACATGTACCTGTAGTGTTCTCACCAGATATGAGACTCAAAACATTTTCCTCATGGTTTAAGTTTTTTGTCACAAGTTTTCCACGCTCATGATACAAATTTTCTCACAAAAATGTCAGAAAATACAAGTGACAATACAAAGTGTAGAATAAAATATGATAAACATTTGTGCATATACTTTATTTCTGTCTGTACTTCCACATATACTGTACATATGTAGATGAGTAATTGTCTTATACTTTCTGAAAACTAATGGAACTATTGTATCCTATGTATTTAATTCCTGGTAAGAACATTGTATCTGATTTGTACATGTCAAACTTACTCCATTAATTTCTTACTACCTTCACTTTACCAATGTACACATGTACCTATATTCTCCAAGTTTTATTAATAATAATAATTTTAATTGAAACTGTATCCCAGTGTTGGAATTTGGTCAAGAATACAATAAAGTAACAACTACAAACAAGTACAGTAGTTGAAAACAGAAATTAGATGAACAGAATATTTCCTTAATATGTGTTGGTTGGTTGAGGCAGCTGATATTTTAGGATTGTATGCTTTTGATATTTTTTCTCTTGGCATTTTCTGGTTGAATTGATCGATGTTTTTATTTATTTAACAATTTATGATATCTTTAAAAATCTGGGAGTAACAATACCTTATAAAGTGAACAGGTTTCTAGCAAAATAACAAAATAATTTTAACTGGAATTAATTTTAGCTGCAAATACATTTTGGCTGTTTTGTTTTTGCAGTTTATTTTCACTGATTTAAGATTAGATGAATATGTAAAATACAGAAAAAAGGATTTCCACTGGATTTTATTCTAACTGATTCATCTGTTCAGTGAAAATAGCAAGAAATGTAAAAGTTATAATATAATAAAATACCCATCATTTCATCTCATAAATACTGATGAGCTATATAAATACTTATATCTTATGAATAATCTCAGACTTTTTTGAGTGTTACTGCATATAAAGTAGTTTACAAGGATCTATCTTGTTATTTGGATCGAGACTGTCTGGCTATTTTGAATGGTTACATGTTGTAATATTAATTATACCTTTATATGGCTCTTACATACCCGTAGTTGTAGTCGCATGTGGTATTTACTTCTAACTCACATCAAAACATTTCTAGCTTGGCAAAATATCTGTCGTCGAAAACTTTTCTTGTGGATGCGATAAAAACATCAATTATTTCATTACTAGTTGTGTGCCGTGATATATGTAGATAAATACAGATGAACAATAAGTGCTGCCCATATTCCCATTCACAGTTGTATTGTGGCCAAACTTACAGGTAGTTCAAAGCTCTTTCAATTTTGAATAAAATGTCCGAAAATCAAATTTGAAAATTGTGGTATTCGCTAGTTTAAATCAATATCTGTTGAAAAATGCTCCACATAAAATACTAACTTTGTAATAAATCCATCTTCAATCATCGAACAAAGAATCCCACGTGTGATTCAGTAACTTGATGACAATCTTAGATGCTGAAATCTCAATCTTATCCAAATCTACTGCTTGGTGATGTTTGATTATTTTTATGTGAATATCTTACAAATACCATAACTGTATTTATCATATTACACATACTGTATTAGCTCTATTAGAAGTGCATCTCAAAAAGAAGCACATGTGAATACAAAAATTGCATTAACTGTACACTGTATCATTCAAATATTACTGTAAAATACTTTATTTCAGCTGGAATTATAATTTTCGCTGAAAAAAACTTTTTGGGTGTTTTGTATGGAATTTAGTTTCACTTATTTCTGTGGAGTTAAATGTAAAATATAGGAAAAAATGTATATTCACAGGATTTTATTTTCACTGAATCATTCCTTCAGTGAAAATAGCGAAAATAAAAGTATTTTACAGTACTTACTTTGACCATAGACATGCTTCTGTAATTTATGTAAGCATTACTAATAGGGGTGAATATGGTATTAATTCACATGCCAAAAAATGTTAAATAAAACTTTGCTAACAATACAACTTTTAGATAAATTTCAAACACTATCTTATCCATGTGGTCAATTGGTTTACCTACCACACGTGAAATTAAATCACGTTTTATTTTTACACTGTAGTCACAGGGACTTAAAACCGGAGAATCTACTTCTAGACGAGAAGAATAATTTGCGAGTTGCCGATTTTGGAATGGCTTCATTACAAGTTGAGGGATCCATGCTGGAAACCAGCTGCGGATCACCACACTATGCATGTCCAGAAGTTATCAGGGTATGTAGCGATATACAATGCATGTTTCAAATGTTGACCTCAATGACACATTTACCACGCTAGTTCTTCATGAAAAGTGAATAATGTGTGTATGTGTGTGTGTGTGTGTAGGCTGTGATTACGTTGCTAGCATATTTCACAGCCGCCAGAAATAGAGACCCTGTGTGATTGGAAATAAAATTAATTTCTGATGCCCTCCAAAAAAAACCATTATAACATTGTTTGTATTTGTTTTAACCCTAATGTGGTCAAGTAAATGTTAAAGTACATGGAGCTGATAAGCTTGGGGTTAATTTTGTGGCCCTGCAATTTTGCAATCTGAATATATTATACATACCACTGTGAAGGATGGCAATGTTAGGGGAGTACATGCCTAGCATGCCAACTTTAATACATGTATGCATTAAAGCAGGCTCTTTACAGATACATATGAAGCCCATGTGAAAAGACTCTTAATTAATATGTATCAGGTGTAGGTGATTATTTTCAAGTCTGCCAGCTGAGTATGATAGTAATTCTCATCACAAGTACTGATACTTGTAAGATTATATAATAACTATTTATAGAAAAACACAGACAGTTCCTTGCTTATGCTTTTCTTTTGTGGACAGTTTATAAACTCCTCATATCATAAATTACTGACAATCCACATTCATGTTATTTTGACATATTTATTGTTCACTAGTAATTCTTTTGTGTCATTCTTTTACCAGATAATTTTATTTAAAGCCTAATATTTATACATGTAGTTGTCTGGTTTTATTTTTATGTGCTATGTTTGTGCAGATATATTTGACTTAAACATGAGACGAATAATGGTCTGATTCAATTCATATTTGGTGCCATTGAGGCCCAGAAAAAAAAGTCAAATTATTTTCCAAAATTGATGCAGCATACATTAATTAATTTTTTTATTTCTAAAAAATTGAGACACTTGTATTTTTCTGGGCCTACTGTTAAAATTACAAGTCGCGTACATTTATGTCATAGACATTGATTAAAATTCAATGTATTATGTTCTTTTATACGATATCAATTTTAAGTCCAGAAAAAAAAAAGATAACTACAGTTTCAGGTCAATTCATTTTTCAAAATTGATCTGTGTGCACATTTTTTTAATTTTAATATTTTGATCATCTGGCGGCCATATTTACCTTGCCTGTCAGGCACACTTTCACAGATTTTGCTTAATTTTTTTATCTTCAGTTATTTTTAGATTTCAATGAAATTTAACCAATTTGTGGTAATTTTCATGAAAAGAAAAATCACAATTTTAATTTGATTAATTTAATTTGATTATCAGGCTTGCCTGAGCTGATATTATTCAAACTTGACCTGATTTTCACTTTGATTCAAAATGGCAGCTGGTGGATATCTTAGTTTTATTTTTTAAGTGTTCTTAACCATTGCCCGAACATTAATTGATTGATTTTGTTCAAAGGTCAAACTAGGAACAAAGACAAAACATGTATGTATACATGTACATATGCACATTTGTTTTTCACTTCATTGACCTTTGGTTGGTGGTCAATTTAATTTCACCAAATCAATTCGTTCCTTTTCAAACATCCTACCTTTCACAAATACACTTTGACAGTGATGTTAATATTCTCTGACTGACTGGTGGACAGTTACACCAAAAAATATACAAAATCTCAAGCTTGATATGAACAACACACATTATGTTTTGTGATTTGTTTTTTGACTTTGCATACAATGGGAGTCTTTGTGGTTAGTGCGTTTGTGTGTATATCTGTCTGTGTGTGTGGGTGTCAATTTGTTTCACTGATATCTCAGATATTTTTTAAA